ACTTCCATCATAGTTAATCCTACACATATAAAACAAAACTTCGATCGAGACAATTAATCCTAAGCAATTAACCAAGTTGTCCGGCATGTCATTGGTCCCTCGACGCTTCGTCCGATTATTCGGCGCATCGTCCTCTCCTGCGGCCTATTGCCCAATCGGCCAGTTGACTCTGCAACTCCGATATCCTTGGCACAATACCCGCTCTTTTTGGCCCGATGCCCGAGTCCACGGCCCGAAGCCTTCTGTCGATACGTCGACCGATCCATCGGCCCGACGTCTAATCTTCTGACATGTTCCTCCGGTCCAATGTGATTTTTCCGCTTTAATTATCTCATCCTGATCAAAGCATCCTACGTCACTCAAAACACAGATTAAAACATAAACGTAATTATTAATTGGTTTTATCATCAAAATACGAGATTCAATAATTATATGAACTAAAATGGATCTTAACCTTAAATTATATGTGTTATTATATTAATGATTTATTGTTAGTAAGCATTACATGTAAGTAGACTTTCACGTATGTTAACTCAAACTTTATGTCGGGGGCATATATGCTATGTTTTTAAAAATATATAGGTTATTTTAGACATGAGTAAACAAAAAACAACAAGGGCTAACATAGACCTTAACATTTTATTTTTATCTTTTAAATCATTTTAAGGAGCCAATCAATTAAAATTATTTCTTTCTTTTTTATGGTACAAATAATTCTATCAATTTAATATATGGCACCCCTATATTCAATTTTTATTAAGGGTTATTTTTTTAAAATCTTAATAATGTCTTTGAATCATGCTATTCGAAGTCACAAATCCATGAGTTAGGTTGGTTCGGGCTAAATGATTCAGATCGAATCACTTCGAATCAGGTTGAGTTTGATTGTAACGTATTGGATTGGACTTTATTGAATTTGTGATTGAGTGTAGTCTGAGTGTAACTCAAGTATAATAAATTTTTTTATTAAACTAATTTAAACTTCTCTACAACTACTAACATATCATTTTAAAATATTTACTATCATTTATTCTAATTTCTTATGATTTTATGATGAATAAATTTTTAAAAAGAATATTTTTTGAGTTGAATCGATGATGAAGTGTAACCTATTAAATTTTTTTTATCAAATCTATCTAAACTTCTCTACAACTTTTAAGATAAGATGCTAATATGTTAGAATATGAATTTAGAATAATTAATTTTTTAAATAAGATATTTTTGGTTTGAATATATGATCTGAGTGTAATTTTTTGGATTTTTACCGAACCTATCCAAACTTCACTTGTACTAATAGGGTGAGAAGCTAATATGTTTATTATCATTCTTTTTTATTTTTATATGAATTTAGGATGATTAATTTTTTAAGTAAGATATTTTTATGTTAAATTTATGATTGAGTGTAAGAATATTTGTCAAACCTATCCTTTTTTCGGGAACTATCAAGGTGGGATGATAATATGTTTATTATTTTTTTTTTAATTTTTGTATAAATTTAGGATAATTAATTTTAAAAATAATATATATTTTTTGGTTGAATATGATGAAGTGTAACTCTTTGAATTTTTATCAAACATGTCTAGACTTCTCCAAAGCTACTATAATAAGATGTTAATATGTTTATCATCATATTTTCATTTCTATATAAATTTAGGGTGATTATTTTTGAAATATGATATTTTATGTTGAAGTTATGATCGAGCACAATTCGAGTGTAATTTAATTAATTTTTATTGAACCAATCTAAACGTTTTCAAAATTACTAGCACTTGATTCTAAATATATACATTTTTTTAAATTTTTTTTATGAGTTTAGAATCATTAACTTTTCAAATAGGATATTTTTTAAGTTAAATATATAATTAAGTATAACTCGAGTTAACTTTTAATAAACCAATCTAAATTTCTCCCGAACTACTAGCATATTATTATAAGATATTTAACATAACTTTTTCTATTTGTGATGGATTGAAGATAATTTTATATAAAAATTAATATATTTTGTGAATAAGTATAATTCGAGTCTAACCCAAATATAATTATTTTTTAGATAATTTAGGATAATTTTATATAAAAATTAATATATCTTTAGGATAATTTAAGTTTTTTAGTTTTATTATAAGTTTAGAATATTTTTATATAGAAATTAATATTTTTTGCTATTGAGTAAATTTGAGTATAATGATTAATCTAGTGTAGAAGTAGAAGAAAAAAAAAGAAAAAGAGAAAAAGGAGGAAAAGAGGGTGAAGGAGGTGGATGAGGGAGAGGGAGAGGGAGAGAGAGGGGAGGAAAAGAAGGAGCCGAGTGAGGGAGGTGGATGAAGGAGAGGGAGAGGAGGAGGAAGTCAAGGGGAAGAAATATGGGAAGGAGGTGACGGTAAAGTGGGTAGAGGAAGGGAATGCAAAGATAAAGTGGAAAGAGGAAGAGCATGCAGAAGTGGAGTGGGAGGAGAAAATCAAGTGAGAGGGTGCGAATGAAGAAACAACGATAAGAGAGAGAGAGGGGAGGAAAAGAAGGCGCTGAGTGAGGGAGATGGATGAAGAATAGGGAGAGGAGGAGGAAATCAAGGGGAAGAGGGAGGGGAAGGAGGTAACGGTAAAGTGGGTGGAGGAAGGGAGTGTAAAGATAAAGTGGGAAGAGGAAGAGCATGCAGAAGTGGAGTGGGAGGAGAAAATCTAAGTGAAAGAGTGCGAATGAAGAAACAACGATACGAGAGAGGAGGCGACGAGGAGTTTATAGAGGTGGAGTGGAGGGAGAAGGAGGAGAAGACAGAGTAGCGGTGAATGAGATGAGGATAATTTGAGGAGGAGGGCAGAAAGATAATACAGAGAAAAAAGAATGATAATTCAGGATTGAAAAAGAATAAATCAAATACTTAATTTTTTTTATTAAGTATTTTTTAATAAAAGATATTTTGATCGTAATATGAAAAAAAATAATTTTTGATCTCAACTAAGTGCATTAGGAGAGTTAGAGAGGCATAGACTAAGTGTCATAAAACCTCATTATTAAATTTTTTAATAAATTATTCTATATATTTTGGATTAAAAAGAGACTTGTTGTGCATAGGTTCATATTTGGTCGATGATCATAACATCAAAGAAAGTGTCTATATTCTACGTCATCGTACAATATTTGTAAAAATTGTGCTACTGAGAAAACACGGTATTGTGGTGAAAAGAAATAGTATTCATATAACATAATTCAGTAATAAAAAGATAATATGTTTTTTCAAAGGTTAAAAAATGATAAAAACAGGATTCAAGGAGGAAAGGAGCTTACAATAAACTATAAAATCTTTGCCTGGAATAATGTTGATATACTATATAATAATTTATTTTGGCTCTATCAGTATGTATGGACTGAGGTTTCAAGAGGAATGGAAATTTCCAGAAATGCCCTTTCAAGCCTAAATTCTCCTCTCCTCTCCTCTGCTAGGGTTTATGGAAACGCCATTCAATTCCTCCGAGAATGGCGATTGAATCCCACCTCCTTCCTACCCCGAAAGCCAGCCAAGATCTGATCTTTTGGCATTCGTAATTCTGTCATCAAGATTGGGTCTTGAGGACCGTAGCCCTGAAATCCCCGATTTCCTGTCCGCCGCAGCATGAGCCGACGGGCAGCGGCGGTGGTTCTCTCGCGGTCGCCCGCCGTCGCCTCCTTCTTTTCGACCAATCGCTGCTTCCCTCCGTCCCAATGCCTGATCTCGATTTCCCGCCATAATCCCTTCAAAAGACCCCGCCTTTCTCTCTTCAGCAGCGGCAGTAGCTGTTCCTCGCCCGACGACGATTTGAGAGAGTTGAACGATCCAGGGTTCGTTGTTCCGTGGGATGGCGCGTCCCATGATCGAGAGAATCGTCAGGAAGCCTCGGTCTCGATGAAAGACTTCACCTTTTTGCAAGAAGCCGCAGTCGAAGACCGTGAGACACTCGCTGCAAAGCCTCTTGATGCAGGAAAATCGTCAAAGGAGGCCGTTCTGATCGCAAAGGTGGTCAGGGCAAGTGGAAGTAATTTCGATGACAATACCGAGAAGATACTGAGGCGATTCAGGGGAAACTTGAATGAATCGCTGATGATTGACGCGTTAAGATTAGTAAGTATTCCAGATTTGGCGCTCAGATTCTTCATCTGGGCCGGTCAGCAGATCGGCTATAGCCATACGGGTCAGACTTACAATGCATTGATTGAAATTTTAGGCTTTGATAAGAAGAGTAGAGTCCCTCAGCATTTTCTTAGAGAAATTGGACAGGAGGATAGAGAAGTGCTTGGGAGATTGTTAAATGTGCTCGTGCGGAAGTGTTGTCATAGTGGTTTTTGGAATGAGGCTCTGGAAGAGCTCGGGCGGCTTAAGGACTTTGGTTACAAGCCATCCAAGGTGACATATAACGTGTTGGTTCGGGTTCTTCTGAGTGCTGATCGACTAGATTCAGCTGTTTTGGTTCACAGAGAAATGTCTGAATCGGGATTTTGTATGGACAGGTTCACGATGGGCTGTTTTGCGCATGCTCTGTGTAAAGCAGGACAGTGGGTAGAAGCTCTCAACATTATAAAGGCAGAAGACTTCACACTAGATACTGTTTTATGTACTCAAATGATTAGTGGATTGTTGGAAGCTTCTCTTTTCGAGGAAGCCATGTCTTTTCTTCATAGGATGAGGTCCAATTCATGTGTTCCAAATGTTGTGACATATAGGACATTGCTTTCGGGGTTTTTAAGTAAGAAACAACTTGGTTGGTGTAAGAGAATTCTTAACATGATGATTATAGAGGGTTGCAATCCTAGCCCATCATTGTTTAATTCTCTGATGCATGGATATTGCAGCACTGGAGACTATGCTTATGCATATAAGCTGTTAAAGAAGATGAATGCTTGTGGTTGTCGACCTGGTTATGTGACTTACAACATATTTATTGGAGGAATCTGTGGAAATAAAGAATTGCCAAGTTCTGACATGTTGGATCTGGCGGAAAAAGCCTATGAGGAGATGCTGGATGCTGGATTTGTACTAAACAAAATAAATGTTGGCAACTTTGCTCAATCCCTTTGTCACATGGGGAAATTTGATAAGGCATTTCAGATTATAAACGAGATGATGAAGAAGGGATTTGTTCCTGATACTAGCACCTATGCGAAGGTGATTGGTCTTCTTTGTCAGGCGAGTATGGTGGAAAAGGCTTTCCTTCTATTTCAGGAAATGAAGAAGAATGATGTTGTTCCTGATGTTTATACATATACGATTTTGATAGACAGTTTTTGTAAGGTTGGGCTTATCGAACAGGCTTGGAGATGGTTTAAAGAAATGGAGAGAGAAGGTTGTCTTCCGAATGTTGTGACCTATACTGCACTAATACATGCTTACTTGAAAGCAAAGCGACTTTCCAAGGCAAATGAACTTTTCAAGAGCATGATTAGTATGGATTGTGTTCCTAATGTTGTCACCTATACTGCATTGATTGATGGCCTTTGCAAAGCTGGAGAGATTGAAGAGGCTTGCCATATCTATGCAAAGATGAGGGGAATTTGTGAGGATGCAGTTGGCAGTAATTACTTTGAAGGTGGTAGTAACGAGGTCGCACAGCCAAATGTTTTCACATATGGTGCATTGGTTGATGGCTTATGTAAAGCTCATAAAGTGGTTGAAGCTCGTGATTTATTGAATGCAATGATGTCAGCTGGTTGCGAGCCAAATCACATAGTCTATGATGCTCTTATCGATGGGTTTTGCAAGGTTGGCAAGCTTGATGATGCACAGGAGGTATTTGTCAGAATGTCTGCGCATGGTTACACTCCTAATGTGTATACATACAGCTCCTTAATTGACAGGTTGTTTAAGGATAAAAGGCTTGATCTTGCTCTTAAAGTTCTCTCAAAAATGTTAGAGAACTCTTGTGCTCCAAATGTAATCACATATACTGAGATGATTGATGGGCTCTGTAAGGTAGGTAAGACAGATGAGGCTTACAAGCTTCTTATGATGATGGAAGAAAAAGGATGTAATCCGAATGTTGTAACTTATACTGCCTTGATAGATGGATATGGTAAAGCCTCTAAAGTTGATATGTGTCTGGAACTTTTTAGGCAAATGACTGAAAAGGGTTGTGCCCCAAATTTTATCACATATAATGTATTGATAAACCATTGTTGCACTGCTGGCCTTCTGGATAAGGCCCACAAAATTTTGGAGGAGATGAAGCAAACTTGTTGGCCAAGACACATATCGGGCCACCGCAACATCATCCAAGGATTTAGTAAGAAGTTTATTAGTTCACTTGGCCTTTTAGATGAGATAACACACTACAATGTGGTACCGATTGCTCCTGCTTACATCATTCTAATAAATAGTTTTTCTAGTGCTGGTCAGCTGGAAATAGCTTTGGAGTTGCACAGAGAGATAGAGGGTTATTTGTCATGTTCAAGTGTTGCAAACAGTAACATGTACTTTTCAATAATTCAGGGTCTTTGTTTAGCATCAAAGGTTGAGAAAGCCATTGAATTGTATAGTCAGATGCTAAGGAAAGGATATGTGCCAGAATTGATAATTTTCTTTTGCCTCATCAAGGGACTCCTCAGGGTTAATAAGTGGGATGAAGCACTCCAGCTTTTGTACACCACATACAACATGGTTAGTTTCTCTTTATTCTTCTCATTATGCAGTGGTGCATACAATTTCTTTCTTTTGATTCTTCTTATTATTCGATGGTGCATGTAGGTTCGTGCTGTCTGGTAAAAGTTATGAAAAATGCTAGAACAACTGATAGAGTTGGTTGGTTTTATATTAATGTTTTGAAGATTGAACTTTGTGATATGTCAGTTACATTACCAAAATTGATAATATGAACTTTTGATTCTTAAAAAAAACTGTTGGGTAGTTTTCATTTTCCTCAAAGAAAATACTTCTTATATAATTTTGTGTCTATCAAATAACAGAATCATTAGCCTCATATAATGTATTGATGATGTTCCTGCCACCAGGTTCTTCTTTAAGTGAAAATTAATATGGTTCTTCTTTTGTCTTTAAGAACCAGAGAGACAATACGGTAAGGTGCCAAGTGTATTTGATGCTTGTGAATCCTGTTTGACAAACATACCCAAAGAATACTGAAAGATTAATACATATCTTTGTAGATTGAGATACCTATGATGCCAAGAATATTCCTAGATTGAAGTTAAGTTGCCTAGTGTTTCCCAGTCTTGTTTGATAATATAGTTTGAGGTAGGAATGAAAAAAGTTGTGTTGATCCATACAAAAAAATAAAATACCTGTAATAATAAGTTTCAGATAGTTTTTAGGGTACTATGAATTCATTGCTTGTCTTCTCATGTGGTGCCTTAATTTTTGCAAAGCCAGTAACATAACATAGAGAAGGAAGACAATAGAGTCGGTCTGTACAAAAGGGAACAGAAACATTTGATATATTCTTCAAATAGTTCTTAGGACATTTATGGATTCATTGAACTGTATCTCTTCATATTTAGTGTCTGAACCTTTGCAAAGCCAAAGTAAACATGTGCCTCTAGTCATGAAGGTGTTACATACTTTTGTTTAGACTATGGTGTTTTTTTTCTCTTGGACCAGTATCATTATGCTCCTACTTGATAATCAATTAAAGAGATGTAAGCATTTTCTCTTTTTCTTTTTTACATGAAGCTATTTTTTCATTCCAGTTACTGTTGCTGATTTTATTTGTCATTTGCAACAGGGTATAGAATGGCATAATGAAGAAACATCTGAAGGGAACTAGACATGTCTCTTTCCATGCCTTCTTTTTCCAACTTATGATAACGAGTTGCATTTCGTGGTATAGTCAATGATTTCTTGTGGCATTTTTAACTTAAAGCATTTGCATTGATCACAATAAAAGGGATCTTTGGGGATGCTTGCTGCTAAGTAAGAGACGTATGTTCCTTTTCTGCTTACCACATTCTTTTATGAGTATCAATGTTGGGGAATATCAGAACAAAGGTTTGTGATTTGATGCAGCATTCACAAATTCTGTCCTCTTCTGCGCACCCTTCCTGCACCGTGCCATGGGTGTGATTAAGGTCCATTTGCTTTTCAACAGTACAAGAACATTTCAGCTATAAGTCGGTAAGTTCGTTCAATCACTCTCTGTATCTCTCTCTGCATATATACATCATAAACACATCTGTCAAGTAACTCTGTCTCCAGTAACAAAGAACTATTTGTAGATGTTTCTCGACTTCTGTCAGCTGGACACTACCTTACCTATCAGTTAGCAGGGGTTGACATAGTCATAGTGACGGTTGGACCTTAGATTCCTGGAACATTCCTTGTGACAGTTCTATTAACATCCAAAAAGGCTCATGGATTGAGCAAGCTGTCTCTGCCCTTTTTGAGTTATCATCTATATTTGTTTGAAATTGCATGATCTGGCAGTGTCTAAATTGGCTTATTGCAGGTGGTGCTGTGCCATACGACGATGTATCATCTACTCGAAATCATGTCAGTGTCCTTACTGAGAGGGAACAAATCATTTCTATGTTAGCTGACATGTATGCTATTCATTCCTAGTTCTTACTATGGGAAGACATCTGTGAGCTTCGAGCAAAAGCCAATAGTATCCAAGACTATATTCTATCTTATTCTTGTAGGAAGATGATTCGTTGCCGCTCACGAGCTAAGAACTTAATGAATAAGGGCGTTTAGGCTTGTATCATCACTTCTTGGATTCAATTCTCTGAGAAGGATGAGGTGTACATAAATCAAGGTATTGTGAGTGCAGACAGGAGATCAATTGTAGAAAAGTGAAGTTTTTTTAGGGACATATTGCTGCATTCTGTTCTTGAGACCAATTAAGAATTGATAGGTTATGCCATATCATTTTTTGAGCTTTTATCTCTATCTACTCTTTAAAGAGGTTTTGGCTACTACACTTGGTTTGGTTATGCCAGATCATCATCATGTGTTTGCATCAATTGGATTTGTTGACCTGCTGTAATTTTTATTGTGAAAGCGAGAAAGATATGGGAGACATGAATATAATTTATAGGAAAAAATTCCTGTTATTATTTTGTGCTCGTGAAGCTAAAATATAATGAATTTTGTCTTTTAATTCAAAAGTTTGTGCCTCACTTTGTCCATGTTGGCAATATATCTTTGGCATATGTTTCTTATAGTATGTATTAAAGATTCTATTTATGGCTATGGGTTATCTAAGAGAAGGTAGGAGGAAGAGAAGAAAAAAACATATATACATCAAATTGTTGTGCTCTCGGTTCCCAAATTTATTGTGTCCCAAGCGTATGAATCAAAACATTTATTTCTTGATTCCCAAACATGAATCGAAATAAGGCATCAAAGATCGAGAACCTCAGTTGCTTTCATGATGAGTGTGTTTTAGGAAACCACTGATTCTTGGGTAGATATATATAATGTTGGCAAAGGTAGATGACTTTGTTGCTGATGTGGCTTTTCCAAGGCGTGTCAGCCAGCAATGGCAATTGCTATTGCTACTTAGATTAGTTAAAGTTGCTTGAATTCTTCAATGGATGGACATATCATCTTAGATTTTTTTAGTTTTCGTCATTACTAAAAGACGTATTCACTAATTTTCTTAGTTCAAGCAGCATAGGTATGCAAATAACTTATCGTGCAACATCAATTATTGATTTGTTAATGCTCCAAGTCTAAACTACTTGTAGTTTTGTTGTATAAATTACAAGGAATCATAGTTATAGTTCTAAGAAAATATCTTGTTTCGGTAGGATAACAAATTTGTGCTTTTTTACAAATTAGAAGTAACCGTAGCCATAGATTCAAAAAAATATTTTACAAATCAAATACTTGAGACATATATTTATTTGTATACAATATATTGGGAAGTCTCGACATTTCATTTTTATGAATTTTTTAAATTTTTTTTTGTCAAAAGTGTAAAGTCATCGTCATAGTCCTTATCACTTAGAATTTTCTTTCAAGTGATCTTTTTGAGTTTTAAGTATCATATCCTTCCTGTTTTTTAAAAAGCTATTCTCAAGCTCTTCATGAGCATTACAAGTCATCTCATAGGTCATCAATGACCCGATTAGTTCTTCAAGAAGAAAGTTATTTAAATCCTTAACCTCTTGAACGGTCGTTACCTTAGGGTCCCAACTCTTTGGAAGAGATCTTAAAATTTTATTAACAAGTTCAAAATCTGAAAAACTTTTACCAAGTCCTTTTAGACCATTGACGATATCCGTAAATTGGGTGTACATGTCTCCAATGGTCTCACTCGATTTCATCCGAAACAACTCATAAGTATGAACTAAATGATTAATTTTTTACTCCTTTACTCTACTAGTGCTTTCGTTCTTTTTAAGTATTTAAATTTTTTTTACTACTTTATAGTGAGACTATTTGAGAGTAAATTTAAATCTTGCACAAATTTTAACAGTAGATATGCTAATTTTTGTGTTGATAGTCTTAGCATTGTAAGTGTATACTCTGACTAGTGAAAATCTTATTATTTAGTTACTTAATTTGTAATCTTAAGATAAATATCAATTTACCTATTAAGCTCATTTCAAATTCTTAATTTATACTTTTCATAAATGATTCACATAAAGATTTATCAGTAGAACCAAAAATAATATCATCAATATAAATTAAAATAAAAAATAATTATTAAAATATTTAATAAATAATATAATATAGATCTTGATTTTTTTAAAAAATATTTTGAATAAAAAATAGCTAAATATCTTATTCTAAGGTTTAGGGGCTTGTTTCAACCTCTAGTGAGCCTTATATAATTTATAAATATAATAAAAAATTATTTTCAAATCTAAATCTAGATGATTGTTCAACATAAACTTCTTTAGAAATAAAATAATTAAAAAAATACTTTCAATATCTACTTAAAATAATTTAAATCTTTTTAAAATATGCATAGTCAAAAAGTATTCTTATAGCTTCGAGTCTAACTATAAAAGTAAATCATAATCTATACTTTCTTCTTAGTCAAAATCTTTGACCATTATTCTAGTCTTAAACTACAACACTTTGCTTATTCCTAAAGACTAGATGAGAAGAGCCCTATTCATGGTATAGCATATCATGTTAATGGTTTTGACTTAAAAATATTTAATTAAGCTATGTTTATTAAGCATGATCCTTATTATTTCTTGTAAAATCTTATTCTTTCTCTCAACATTTCTTAAAGTGGAGAAATTATAGTCATACCATTCAAATCAATAAAGTCTTGAAAATCATAATTTTAAATTTCATTATTATGATCACTACAAATAAAAAAATCACAAAACTTTTTTTATTTTGGCCTTATTTATAATACTTGATAAAATATTTAAAATAATTATTTTTATATAACGAGAAATATGTCCAAATATATCTACCATAGTCATCAACAATCATAAAAACATATTCACTACCTCTTAAAATTATGATATTAATAATTTCAAATAAGCCCATATGAATTAGTTTTAGGGGTCTAAAGATACATATTTAGTTTTTGGATTTGAAACTACTTTTTATATATTTTCATGATTGTCATGCATCATAAATTTTATTTTTAACAAATTTAATTTTAGGCATTCCTCTTACAAGTTTTTTAATTTTAATTTAATAAATCAATTTTGTATTACATGTTCTAGTCTTCTATACCAAAACCATACATCAACATTCAAAATCGAAATAAAAATTACATCACAAAAGTCATAAAGAACAAAGTATACTTAAAGCTATCAAATGTTTATTCTCGGATAATGCTATGACTATCAACACACAAATAAGCATGTTTATTAAATTAGATATGTACAATGAATGATTTGATCAAAAGATATATAGAGACATGATAGATAGTTTACTATATCTCACTACAACTAGACCTAATATAATATTTAGTGTTAAACTTTGTGCAAGAGTTCAGTTTATCTCAAATAATCTCTCTATAAAGTAATAAAAAGAATTTTTAAATATATAATATTTATATAAATATTTTTTAAAGAAGAATAAGTTTATATACCTTTTAATATATCCTCAATATTAGCTCCTTAGGATTTGCATGTACAATCTTTTATTCCTTGGGTAAAGTTTCCTTGATGTGTCCAAGTCACTTTGGAGAGTAACAATAATCATATAAATTTAATTTATCAAGCTCAAAAATATTATTAAAATTATTATTCTTAACTTAAAGAGATTCTTTGAAAATAATATGGATAATTTAACTAAAGATCTTTTATTGAAAACTTGATAAGCTTTAGAGGTAGAAGGATATCTAAGAAAAATATCTTCATCGGACTTTATATCAAAATTTTCTAAGGTATCCTTGTCATTTAAAATAAAATATTTATAATTAAAAATTTTAAATATAAATTATTAGGTCTTTTATTATTTCATAATTCAGAAATAATTTCGATAGATGAGGAAGACCTTATTCATGGCCTAGTATAGTGTTAACAACTTTAGCCCAAAAATATTTGAGTAAGTTATGTTTATTAAGTTCCTATTCTTTCTCTCAATAATTTTTTTTATGAATTTCTTAAAGTAAACTTTTGGTCATATCATTTAAATCAATAAATTTTTGAAAATTATAATTTTTAAATTCATCATTATGATTACTATGAATAGAATAAATCATATATTTTTTTTATTTTAAACTTATTTATAATACTTGATAAAATATTTAAAATAATTATTTTTATATTACAAAAAATATGTCTGAGTATATCTACCATAGTCATCAAAAATCATAAAAACATATTGACCATCTCTTAAAATTATGATATCAATGGGTCCAAATAAATCCATGTAAATTAGTTATAGGGGTCTAAAGGTACATACTTAGTTTTTGTATTTGAAGCTACTCTTATATATTTTCTTAATTGACATCCATTACATATTTTATTTTCAACAATTTTGATTTTAGGTAGTCCTCTTACAAGTATTTTAGTTCCAATTTAAGAAATCAATTTTACATCATATGTTATAGTCTTCTATGTCAAAGCCATATATTAATATTCAAAACCAAAATATAAATTACATCACAAAAGTCAAAAAGATCAAAGTATACTTAAAGCTATCAAATATTTATTCTTAGATAATGCTATAGCTATCAATACACAAACGAGTATCTCTACCAAATTAGATATATAAAATGAAGGAGATTGATTTGATCAAAAGACATATAGAGGCATGATAAATAATTTACTATACTTTACTACAACTAGATCTAATATAATATTTAGTGTTAGATTTTGTGCATGAGTTTAGTTTAATCCCAAACAATCTCTCTATAAAGTAGGAAAAAAAAATTTAGATACTTAAAAGGAAGCAGTATTTACACAAATATTTTTTTAAAGAAGAATAAGTTTAAATACCTTTTAATTTATCCTTAATAATTAGCTCCTCATGATGTGAATTTATAGACTTTTATTCCTTGGGTAAGGTTTCCTATGAAATAGATGTGTCCAAGTTGCTTTGCGAAGTAACAATAATCATATAATTTTAATTTATCTAGTTTAAAATTATTTTTTGTAACTTAAAGATATTCTTCGAAAATAATATATATAATTTTTTTAATAACTAAATATCTTTTATCAAAAACTCGATAAGCTTTAGAGATAGAAGAATATCCAAGAAAAAAAATTTTATCAGACTTTATATCAAGTTTTTTTTAAGAAATCATTAAAATTTTTAAAATATAAAATGTTAAGTATTTTATTATTCCACAATTCATAAAGAGTTTAAGATTGATAAGGAGAATCTTATTCATGGCATAGCATTATGTTAGCGACTTTGACTTAAAAATGTTTGAATAAGTTATATTTATTAAGCAGGATCCTTATCATCTCTTTTACACTCATATTCTTTCTCTCAATAACTCGTTTTTTTTATGAATTTCTTAAAGTGAAATAATTATAGTCATACCATTTAAATCAATAAATTTTTAAAAATTATAATTTTTAAATTCACCATTATAATCACTATGAATAGAAGAAATCATAAAACTTTTT